ACACACACACACGTACACGTACACACTCACACACACACACACACACACACACACACACACACACACACACACTCACACTCACACACACGCATGTTGTGTTTCCATGTTTAATGGGGACATTCCATAGGCGTAATGGTTTTTATACTGTAACTGTATGTGCTATTGCCCTACACCAACCCTACACCTAAACCTATAAAGTATAATTTGCCAAAAGCATGATTATTGCTATGACTTTTTATACGTAATACCCCTGACTATAGTTTCAGTCTATATTTTGTTAGTATATTGAGTTTTGTATATGTTCAATAAGCTCATCAATGATTCATTGTTTCTGTATAAATTATAAGAACATACAAAACTGTCATCAGACATGTTCATACATGGACTATATACCTATGATTTGTTAGGGAGGGATGCAAAGCTTTTTAAACTTATCGTCAGACTGGTCAAATAAGGTAGTTTTGACTAAATGTTGTTGACTGTCTCAGAATGTGAGAAAAGGGAAGTATGAAGCCACAATTTTTACTGCAATTTCTGAAAGATTTTGCAACCATCTGTTTATGGGTAATTGAATCATGTCTGGTCCACGGCCACTTTAACCAGAATTCATCAGTGCAAAATGAGATGGTGAGATGCGTAAGTGACTGGGGGTCAGTGTGAGTGATTTATCATCTGCTGTTGTCATCTCATGCCATCTCTGTGTGGCCTTTGTCTAAGTGTGATAATATTAGAGGGGGTCTTTACAATGGAGATCTTTCTGTATTTCATACATGAAACATATATGTGATATTATTCCATTTTAAACCAATAATGGGTTTGTCAGTCCCATGAAAATGTAAGGATGGTTTCACTACAGTGGTTCAGGTTGCTATATTGTGTGACTATATTGTATCGCAACATTGGAATTCCAAAAGGAAGATGGATTTGGGACAGGAGAGCAAAAGTCTTTGTTGGTATTCAACTCTACAACAATAAGTATTCTGACTGTCAAAACCATGACATAAATCTTATTTTGGCACTTGATTAGAGTCTGAATTGTTAAACCCACAGAGCAGCGGTGGAAAACAAGTCAAAGTATACATTCACATACAGTCTTCCGCTCTCAGGCCTCTGACAGTCGCTGTGGGTGCTGACGTGGGTTGACGTGTGCTTTAAATAGAGAAATGACACGATGATCTCTGTAAATAGAATCAGGATGAAACAAGATAAAACAAACATTTCTCCTTAATTTGGTCATATCAATTAATAGCCACTGTTTAAACTACTAGTTTAAAAATATTTGGCAGATCATCTAAATTGTAACCTTAATTTGATTTTGTCATGTTTGCTGCCTTCTTGTTGTCTGATTTGACTTTGATGCTGTTTGAATTTTAGGGTTTTTAAATCAACATTGATTCCTGTCAGTGTGACTTAAGTGTGATACATTTAATCAGAGGGAGACAACTGGCTGAATGAGCTTTAAATGTTTGACATATATAGTTAGAAAATGTCTCCAGTTAAAGATTGACATGTAAGAGAGGTTTATTTATTGGTTTATTTATATCCTGTCCTTCATCCAGTAACTCTCAAGTGACACACACACACACACAC